CCCCTACCACTACCCCCCCTCCTAAGGTAAGGTGTTCATGTTTACCTGTTGGTGTTTAATTAATTATTCATCGAGTTTTTTTTTTTATTTACCTGTCTTATTTGTTGAAGCTTAATTATCTATCTATTAAGCTTTAGTTATCTTTCAAGCCTTAGTTATCTATCTGTCTACCTGTCCTATTGGCTTAATTATCTATCTATCAAACTTTAGTTGTCAATCATTCCTTAATTATATACCTGTCTACCTGTCCTACTACCTGTCCTATCACTGAAGCTCTATCTATCTATTTATCTATCCATCTAGCTGTATTGACCTAAGGTAGCTTCTATAATGACCTAACTTGACCTGTAATAACACCCAATAACCTGTTCTATATTACCCTACAAGTACCACTCTTGACCTGACCTCTATGACCTTCCCCCCACAGGCACCGAAGAAGGGGACGACGAAGGAGGTATTAGCAGCGTTCGAGGGGGAGGAAAGAGAGTCGTGGGATAGTAAGCTACAGTTCCTGCTGGCTACTATAGGGTACGCTGTCGGGTTGGGCAATGTGTGGCGATTCCCTTACCTGGCCCAGAAGAACGGTGGAGGTGAGAGAGAGAGAGAGAGAGAGAGAGATTTCAACACTATTATTATTATTATTCACAATACTATCACTAATCACTTCTTATACTATATACACTGAAAAATGAAGAATACGTTTCATTTGTATGTATGTATATATGGATGAATGTATGTATGTATGTATGTATGAATCTAACTACCCATCCATCACTACAGGAGCGTTTTTAATCCCCTACTTCGTGATGTTGACGTTCTTGGGGTTACCGCTGTTCTACCTGGAGTTGGCGGTGGGTCAGCGTATCAGGAAAGGTGCGCTTGGAGCTTGGCATCAGATCTCACCCAGTCTAGGAGGTGTGGGTATCGCCTCAGCTGTCGTGTCCTTCTCAGTGGCACTCTATTACAACACTGTCATTGCCTGGTGTCTGTATTATCTGTTTCAGGTTAGTTACCCCCTGTACTTTTGGAGATGTGGTACGTTTTCTTAGATTTTTTATTTTTTTACGTTTCCTATGAGTTTTTTCTTGTTATTATGGTGCCAAGTTACTTAAATGCCCCTAACTCACCTATACTTTACCCCAACACACTTTAATTACACCCTAACACACTCCTACACCCATAAACTCACCCACACTTTACCACAACACACTCCAATGCCCCCCAACACACCCAAACCCAAACTAACCTCACATTCTCTCCCCCCCCCAAAAAACAGAGCTTCCAATCACCTCTACCATGGTCAGACTGTCCTCATGCTATTGGAGTCCACGAAGGCAACGACACACACCTAGCCCATGAGTGTGAGAGAGCTGGACCCACGCAGTATTTCTGGTACCGCGACGCCCTGGATATTACCGACGACTGTACGCAGTTTGGAGAGTTTAATTGGAAGATCGCTGGCTGTATGGTTATCGCTTGGCTTATCATATATGTCTGTATCATGAAGGGCATTGTGGCTTCTGGTAAGGTGAGTGGAGATAGTTAGTTTGTTGGAGAGTTAGTTAGTTAGTTAGATAGATAGATAGATAGATAGATAGATAGATAGATAGATAAAGAGAGAGTTAGATAGATAGAAGATAGATAGACAGAGAGAGAGAGAGAGAGAGAGAGAGGCTGTACCATTGTGTGTTTTCCCTAAGGACAGTCTGCCTGTGATTTCCCAGCTGACCCCAGTTCTAATAGACCCCAGTTCTAATAGACCCCAGTTCTAATAGACCCCAGTTCTAATAGACCCCAGTCATAATAGACCCCAGTTCTAATAGACCCCAGTCATAATAGACCCCAGTTCTAATAGACCCCAGTTCTAATAGACCCCAGTCATAATAGACCCCAGTTCTAATAGACCCCAGTCCTAATAGACCCCAGTCCTAATAGACCCCAGTTCTAATAGACCCCAGTTCTAATAGACCCCAGTCCTAATAGACCCCAGTCGTAAAAAGACCCAGAGAAAATAGGCTCCAATTCTAATGATTAAGTTGGGTTAGATTAATTTAAGTTAGGGTAGGTTAGGTTAAGTTAAGAGATTAGATTAAGTTAAGCAAGGTTAAGTTAGGTTAGATTAGGGTAAGTTAAGTTGGGGTCTAATAGGACTGGGGCCCAAGTATATTGATAGATAGATAGATAGATAGATAGATAGATAGATAGAGAGAGAGAGAGAGAGAGAGAGAGAGAGAGAGAGAGAGAGAGAGAGAGAGAGAGAGAGAGAGAGAGAGAGAGAGAGAGAGAGAGAGATCATTTAACCTAACCAAACCATTATAGACGAAGGGTGTTACGTTCCTGACGAAGTGTTCCTCTCCTGCAGGTGGTGTACGTGACGGCGGTGTTCCCTTATCTGGTGTTGATCATCTTCCTCTGTCGGGGCCTCACACTACGGGGTATGTCTGATGGCATCACTCATCTGTTTACACCCAAGGTATGTTACCTGTGCTTATACTAATTTGTTTACACCTGTATTCACTTTGTCGTCACAGCTTAAGTATGATGTTGTTCTCTCAGCTTGAATATGAGCTTGTTATGTCAGCTTAAGTACGACCTTCTCTCAGCTTAAGTATGACCTTCTCTCAGCTTAATTATGAGTTTGTTCTCTTAGCTTAAGTATGAGCTTGGTCTCTCAGTTTAAGTATGACCTTCTCTCAGCATAAGTATGACCTTCCCTCAGCTTAAGTATGACCTTCTCTAAGCTTAATTATAAACTTTATTATCTCAGCTTAAGTACGACCTTCTCCTCCTCCTCTTCCTCGACAGTGGGAGAAGCTTGAGGACCCGGTAGTGTGGCTGGAGGCTGGAACACAGATATTCTTCTCCCTCGGCCTCGCCTTCGGGGGTCTGATCGCCTTCGGGTCATATAATCCCGTGAATAACAACTGCCTGAGGGACGCCGTGTTGGTCTCTATTACCAACTGTTTTACTTCCATGCTGGCCGGTGTGATTGTCTTCTCTATATTAGGTAATGTATTGTTTAGCTTTCTGTCTTCTTTCTTCTGCTTTCTTTCTTTCTTTCTTTCTTTCTTTTCTTTCTTTCTTTCTTCTCTTTTCTTTCTTTCTTTCTTTCTTTTCTTTCTTTCTTTCTTTCTTTCTTTCTTTTCTTTTCTTTCTTTCTTTTCTTTTCTTTCTTTCTTTCTTTCTTTATTTCTTTCTTTATTTCTTTCTTTCTTTCTTTCTTTTGTTTTGACTCCTGTTCTCTTTTCTTGTTGTTGTTGTTCTTCTTCTCCTCATATTCATCCCCCTTCTTCTCCTCCTTTTCTTCCTTCTCCTGCTCCTTCGTCTCTTCGTCTTCTCCTCCTTCTCCCCATTCTCCTCTATGGTAGTTGCCTAGTAAGGCCTACAGAGAGAGAGAGAGAGATAGAGAGAGATGCTTCACCACATCCAATATCTCCCCTACAAGGTCTCAGGCTCACGAGAGATACAAATATATAGATAGTTAGAGAGATACAGAGAGAGACAGAGAGACAGAGAGATAGTTCACCACCTCCACTATTTCCCCCACAGGGTTCAAGGCTCACGAGACCCATGACAGGTGCCTGGCAGAGAGGAACGCCACAGTAGCAGCTCTTCTGGAGGAGGCGCCGCCGGGGGTGGACCTGGCAGACATCATGGCAAGGAACAGTACCCTCCTACCTATCTGTGACCTACAGGAAGAGCTGCAGAAGGTGAGGGTGTTGTGAGTGTGTATGTGTATGTGTGTGTGTGTGTGTGTGTGTGTGTGTGTGTATGTATCATCCCTATGTGTTTATATATGCAAATTATATATACAGAAAGCTATATATGCCCATTTAAAATAACAGACTATATCTCCCACCATCAAAACCTAACCTAACCCTTAACTAACTAATCTCCCTTCACCATTACAGTCAGCAGGAGGGACGGGTCTAGCCTTCATCATCTTCACTGAGGCCATTAACCAGTTCCCCTTCCCACCGCTCTGGGCTGTGTTGTTCTTCCTAATGTTGTTTACCCTCGGTGCTGACTCCCAGTTCGGTACCTTGGAGGGCGTCATCTCATCTCTCATTGATCTTAAAGTCTTGCCTCAACTCAGGAAGGAGGCTGTGTCTGGTGAGTGCTTGAATGGGGAGGGGGGGTGTGTGTGTTTGGGGGTGGGGAAGGTGTGTGTGTGTGGGGTTATGTGTACTGTATATGTGTGTATGTAAACAGTATTAGTAGTAACCTCAAGAACTATAACAATCATTATCACTCAACAGGCTCTGGTGTATGTGTGTATATGTGTGTACTGTATATATGTGTGTATGTGTTTATGTATGTGTGTATATACCAGTAACACTCCTCCTCACCCCCCTCAACAGGTCTGGTGTGTTCCATATGTTTCGTCATCTCGCTAATCTTCTGCCATGGATCAGGTAACTATGTGTTCCAGCTCTTCGACTCCTTCGCTGGCAACATTCCCCTCCTGGTCATCGGTCTCTTTGAGTGTCTCGGGATCTCCTTCATCTACGGGATTAAAAGGTGGGTCTTGTCCGGATTGTAAAGGTGGGTCTTGTCCGGATTGTAGAGGTGGGTCTTGTCCGGATTGTAAAGGTGGGTCTTGTCCGGATATTATAAGTGGGTTTTGTCCGGATTTTGAAGGTGTACTTGGGTGTTTTCCGGATTTTAGAAGTGGGTCTTATCCGGATTTTAAAGGGAGGTTGTGTCCAGATTTCAGTGGGTCGTCTCCAGGGTTAAGAATTGCACAATTACGTTTAAAACTTGAACTTAATCTGATGTTGAACTTAAATGACAAAATCACCAACACTCTCCACTTCACCAAACAGGTTCGCTAGTGACGTAGAACTCATGTGTGGGTCACGGCCCTCACTCTACTGGCTGGTGTGCTGGAAGGTGCTGTCACCAGTCCTCATGGTCACCATCCTCACCGCCTCTATAGTCAAGATGATTGTGGAGGGCAGCACTTACCTGGTGAGAATCTATACGAAATACTGTACCTCTTAATCTATTGTTTACCTGGTGATAATTAACGACCTGGTGTAGTTTTTACCTGGTGAGAAACTATCCCTAAGAGACTAGCTAACTTTTTCTCTATAAACAAGACACCAGGTAAGTTTCTCTCACTTTCTTTCTCAGGCGTGGGACTCAGACAACGGAGAAAGTCTTGAAAGACAGTGGCCGTGGTGGGGATGGGTCGTGGCCTTCCTGCTGGTAATGATACCCCTCATGTGGATACCCATAGTGCCCATAGCTAAGTAAGTCTCTTGTTATGCCATAGTTCAGAGTGCCAAGTGCCCATTTATATTCAATCTAATACCATACCCACAGTACCCAGTGTCAATTATAACATTGTTACATGTTAGGGAAATTAAGGCGATCGAGAATAGTGGTTGACTGCTATTATTTAACATCACTAACAAGTTTTCTATTTATCTTCGTCAGCGCCATCGGGTTCCCACTACTGACGGAGGAGGAGGCAGTGTGTTTCCCGGAGAAGGAGTTGAGGAGTGTACAGGATGTTACCCCACAGAGGTTTACTGCACTGGAGCGAGCACTGCTGTGTCTCTCTGTCTCTACCGAGTCTCTTAACGTGAGTGTCTCTCTCTCTCTCTCTCTCTCTCTCTCTCTCTCTCTCTACTTAACTTTCCTTATGTTTATCATACAGAAATATGATCATATATTATGCATATTGATATAGATAGATAGATAGATAAAAATAGATAGATAGATAGATAGATAAAAATAGATAGACAGATAGAAATAGATAGACAGACAAACATAGACAGATAGATGATAGATAGATAAATAGACAAACAGATAGAGACAGATAGACAGACATACAGACTAAAACATCATCCTCACCTACAGTCAGGAGACGGTGAGGGACAGAACGGACAGGGAGGAGGACGGGTCAACAGTATACCCAGCAACAACTCCCAGCTGCCTCTACTGGGAGCATCTGAGAACACTAACTATATCACCCCCAAGACCTCCAAGAATGCCTCCAAACCCTTCAACGAGACGACCTCCTCCTCCTCCTCCAATAACGCAGCACCATCTACCGGGGGCCGTACAGATCAGTTCCTCAACACCGAGATGGATGATAAACCTCTAACTAGAAGGAAGAGTGAGGAAAGGAATAAGAAGAAGGAGAAGAAAACGAATAGGAAGAGCATGTAGGAGACTTGGTAAATCTAGAGGAGTATCCCATCAAAATATTGTTAGTGTTTTCTTTTTTTTGGGTTAGAAATTTGTTATCGATTGGTATTGTTATTATGACCAATTTTTCTATTTAAGGGCTATTAATTAATTGTTATGGTGTTTTTTGAAGTGTTTATCTGATCAAAAAGGTTATTGATCAAACTATTAGTATTTTTTTTTTAGTGGTTAATGATAAAAAGTAATATTACCCATTTTCTTTTCTTTTTTAGGGATTACTGATTAATGTAATAATCTCCGTTTTCTATTTTAAGAGTAACTTGTTTATTTTTGTATATTTATTTTGTTTTGCTTTTAGGTGTATGAAAAAAAATATAATTCAAAGGTTAATATTATTTAGGGGTTAGTGATGAAATATTAACCCCATTCGTTTATGTTTTTTGCCATAACGTCACTGTGAAAAGTTAATTGTTTGTTATAATGTAAACAATGAGATATTTTTGTGTGTTTTGAGTTGTTTACATGGTCTTATTATGCATGTACACTTTTTTACCTCCACACACACACACACACACACAAACACACACACACACATTATCAGGGCATAAAGTCTCAAAGCTTCCATAAGTTGTACAAATTTCTATAATTTTTAAAGGCATAATCAAACTGAGCTTCCATTAAGACAGTAAAGATGGCGGCGCCTCTAATACTTACCTTTACCTTGAGTTACCTGAGATAATTATGATGATGTTCTATATATTGATGTACTTGGATTACCTGAGGAGCCTCCGGTTAACTTTATTTCACCTGAAGACTAACCACCCAAATGTTAACTTCATCTGATCTAATTTAACTTACGACGATAATTTAACTTAATGGTGATCTAACCTAACCCAATCTAACTTAACCTTATGCTAACCTAACCTAACCTACCCTACTGTAACCAAACCTACCCTGTCCTACCTCATATTCACCTAACCTAACCTACCCTACCCTGTCCTACCTCATATTAACCTAACCTAACCTACCCTACCCTATCCTACCTCATATTAACCTAACCTAACCCCTCTCTCCCCAGGTATAGCATTAGGGTGGTTAATCATCAGGTGAAATAAGGTATGAGGGCTAATTAACAGGTAATCTAAAAATATCACTTTTTTTTATTCAATGATTGTGTATAAAACAAACACACAACAAACAAACATAACGAGTTGAAGAATACTGAAACTTGTGTATAGAATGACAGACAGACAGACAGATAGACGAGCAGACAGACAGACATACAGACAGACATATTTAAATCGCTGTTGTAGACATGTCACTGTAAACAACATTAATAATACTAATAGTTAATGAAGTATATTTTTGTGGAAATGTTGTGATTTAGACAGAAATTAGACATAGAAAACTCGATGCATGTATGTATGTATTTAAGTGAGCTCGTATGTATGTATGTATGTCTGTGTGAGTGCTTCCATTAGATCCTGCCCGAGTATTACATAAGATGGTCAGTGTTGGAGAAGTACCACGAATGTCTGGAAAATTTTTAGCTTCGTGGTCTTGTTCGGGGTAAGCTTTTAACACTGGTTATTTTTCACCTCCCCCCCCCTCCCTTACACAATGTTGTATGTATAAATATGTCTGTTGTCCGCTGTTTGCTGGTTATGTATAATTTTAATGGAATGTCGACATATCACATTCTTTATTATCTCTCTCTCTCTCTCTCTATCTCTCTTTCTCATTAATCTCTGCATTTCCTCTCTTTTTTCTCTTACTTTCTTTTCGTAACTATCTATAAACGTCTCTCTCTCTCTCTCTCTCTCTCTCTCTCTCTCTCTCTCTCTCTCTTATACCTGGACACACCCAAACTCCTCAATCTTGCCTCATATACCTGTACATTATGACAGGTAATTAGCAAGTGTTACCTGTACTTGTGTTGATAATGGCAATACTAACAGGTGTATTACAGGTAAGTTACAGGTGATTAGTGATTGTTACCTGTACTGTATTAATGACAATAGGGTTAGCCATAGTTTTAGTTATAGTTTTAGCCATAGTCTTAGCCATAGTGTTTGAGTCGAAATGCTTCCAGAAATTAGACCTTTTCACAAGTCTTCGTCACGTTGATCAGACATAAGACATAGTGTTTTGTATTACTCATGACTGATCAGACATACTTATAGTGATCAGACAACGTCATACTGATCAGATATCGTTATCAAACACTACTTACAGATGAAGTCTCGTATCATGTCTTCCTCGGGGGTACATCAGCCATATGTCTGTCTGCCTCCCAAAGATTCGAGCTTCACGTCACATCTAAATGACCAATAACACCATATGTCTTCCTGTAATGTCTCAACACCTCCTCTAGTCTTCCCTAGTCATCAGACATAGTTCAAAATATTATTGTACACTGATCAGACATAAAGTCCTGTGCAATGGTCAGACATAATTCGTGGTTCTGTGTAGTAATCAGACATAACTCCAAGCCATGCAGGGAATCGTTCAGACATGGTTATCCAGTCTTCCTGTGTACTAATCAGACACATTTTCAAGTCTTGTTACGTACATAACCTGATCAGACATAGATTCATGTCTTCCTATATACCACTCAGTCATGGTTGATCAAATGAAATCCAGTCTTCTTAATCAATGATCAGACATAATTCCAAGTCTTCCGAATCATTGATCAGACATATGTCTTAAAAGTCTTCCTACAATAATTAGGAGGAAATATTGTATTACGACATTTTTCTGTTAATTGATGAACTGATTTTTTTTTCCCGAGCAGTGATCAGACATTAAACTGATCACACATAATTCCAAGTCTTCCTAGACACTGATCAGACATACTTACCCAATGATCAAGTCTTCCTAACCATTGATCAGACATAATTACCCATTGATCAAGTCTTCCAAACCATTGATCAGCCATAATTACCCATTGATCAGGTCTTCCAAACCATTGATCAGACATAATTACCCATTGATCAAGTCTTCCAAACCATTGATCAGCCATAATTACCCATTGATCAGGTCTTCCAAACCATTGATCAGACATAATTACCCATTGATCAAGTCTTCCAAACCATTGATCAGCCATAATTACCCATTGATCAGGTCTTCCAAACCATTGATCAGACATAATTACCCATTGATCAGACATAATTACCCATTGATCAAGTCTTCCAAACCATTGATCAGACATAATTCCCAGTTGATTAAGTCTTCCTTGAGTCGTGATAAATGAGGTTTAATGATGTCTTCTTATCAGGTGAGACTGATGTCTTTTTCAGGCTTAATAAGAAAATAATATGTATTTAAATCAAGCAGTTTGAGTATGACCTCGTACAAGTAATGGTAGTGGGTGGAGGGTGACCTAGTGACCATGGTACTGGGTGGAGGGTGACCTAGTGACCCATGGCAATCCTTGGAGGGTGACCTAGTGACCCATGGTAATCCTTGGAGGGTGACCTAGTGACCCATGGTAATCCTTGGAGGGTGACCTAGTGACCCATGGTAATCCTTGGAGGGTGGAGGGTGACCTAGTGAGCCACAGTACTCCTTGAGGGCTTCAGTAATTGACTCGAGTGTGAACGAAAACTGACCTATCGATTAAGGTCCACCCATTTTCAGCAGGCCTTAGCAACCGTGGGAGGTCAGACAAACAGATCGGTTGCTAAGGGAATAACATATGTGACAACACCTTTCCAATAGACCACTGAAGCATTATATAAACATCATGGCCACAACAACACTCTTATAAACATCATGGCCACAACAACACTCTTATAAACATCATGGCCACAACAACACCCTTATAAACATCATGGCCATAACAACACCCTTATAAACATCATGGCCACAACAACACCCTTATGAGCATTCGCGTACAACGGCACCCTTATAAACATCATGGCCACAACAACACCGCACGCCCATAAACATGCTTGGCGCAGCAGCTTTCATAAACATCATGGCCCACAACAACACCCTCATAAACGTAAGCGTACAACAACACCACTTATAAACATCATATGGCGCAACACCCTTATAAACATCATGGCCACAACAACGCCCTTATAAACATCATGGCCATAACAAGCACCGCCTCAAACATCATGGCCACAACAACACCCTTACCGGCATGCGCTGGCTTTTGCTGCACCTACTTTATAAACACTTCGCTGCAGCCCGCAGCAGCACGCCGCAAACATCATGGCCCCAACAACACCCTTATGACATCGCTATGGCTACAACAACACCCTTATAAAACAATAGCGGCCATAACAACTTGCCTTATAAGCATCGCGTACAACAACACCCTTATAAACATAAGGCCTGTAACGCCGCTTATAAACATCATGGCCACCACGGCAGCACACCATTATGAAGCATGGCCACAACAACACCCTTATAAACATCATGGCCACAACAACGCCCTTATAAACATCATGGCACGGCAGCGCACTTGCAAACATCATGGCTACAGACAGCACCTATAAATATCATGGCCATAACAACACCATATATTTATCATGGCCACAACAACACCCTTATAAACATCATAGCCATAACAACACCCTTATAAACATCACTGCGGCAACACCATTATAAACATCATGGTACGGCAACACCTCATCGGCGCAACAGCACCCTTATAAACATGGCTAACAGCACCCTTATAAACATCATGGCCACAACAACGCCTGGCATGTGGCCACAGCAACGCCACCGGCATCATGCAGCAGCACTGACCGCAGGCATGGCGGCCTACCGCCTCTACTCAAAACTATCCCCACAACAACACCCTTACTTAAACATCATGGCTGGCAACACCCTTACTCTCAGGCATGTGGCCACAACAACACCCTTATAAACATCATGGCCACAACAACACCCTTATAAACATCATGGCCACAACAACACCCTTATAAACATCATGGCCACAACAACACCCTTATAAACATCATGGCCACAACAACACCCTTATAAACATCATGGCCACAACAACACCCTCATAAACATCATGGCCACAACAACACCCTCATAAACATCATGGCCACAACAACACCCTTATAAACATCATGGCCACAACAACACCCTTATAAACATCATGGCCACAACAACACCCTTATAAACATCATGGCCACAACAACACCCTTATAAACATCATGGCCACAACAACACCCTTATAAACATCATGGCCACAACAACACCCTTATAAACATCATGGCCACAACAACACCCTCATAAACATCATGGCCACAACAACACCCTCATAAACATCATGGCCACCTTACTGACAATACCAGCGTGTCTCAATTAATTATTTATCCACATAATTAAATAAACATCATCAGCTGTTGATTTACCTGACGCCAACACCAAGATGTAAACATTGGCTCACGTGTAATGGGTCCCACTGTCCCGTTTAATGCTGTAGCGAATGGAACCTAATCGATTGGGTCAGTTAGGATACGAATCGAATTGTTTTGAGAGTTCACATTAACGACATTGTCCGTTGTTTGTGTAAATTGCTTGTTTGTTTGTGTAATAAAGAGAAAGGTGGGGTCAAATTCCAGCGTTGATTGGTTAGTTTCTTTGAGAATAGCTGCGACCTCTGACCTTTGACCGCAGTTTTTATGGTGGTTAGGCAGTTCACACAGTAATAGTATTGTCTCTGTTTGTGTGATTGTAAAACAGGAAATATTAGTGTTTGTTTGTTTGTTTATGTGTGTGTGTGTGTGTGTGTGTGTGTGTGTGTGTGTGTGTGTGTGTAATAGCAAGAACAGGCCACCTAGTTTATTTCACCTTAAAATTAACCACCTAACCTAACCTAACCTTACCCTCAAAGATAGCATTAAAGTGTTAAATTATCAGGTGTAATAAGCTAAGAGGGTTAAGGTTAATTTTCACATGATCTAACACCAATATATTAATAGGTGAAAATACCTGGGTCAGCAAAGGTCATCGAGGGTCACCGAGAACTGAACCTCGTAAGGTGAATATTCTAAGAGACTGTAGGTTGGTGCTTGTAATATGAGTCGGTTAGTCAGTCAGTCAGTCAGGGGTAGCATTCATAGAGCTAGTGAACGCAGGTAAATAGGCGATTAATTAAAGAAACGTATATTGCATTCTGGAAATAAATTCTTTGTTAACATCTAGTACTGAACGTGTTGTAAACCTGTACTGAGTGTGTTATGAACCAGAACTGTGGCAGAACCAGTTTCCAGGTTCACAAAGGTTCGTACAGTAAATAATTATCGTAAATTAAAGTGTAATTATGTAATTAACTGGTTGACTTACAATTAATGATTAGATACGTCCACTTAACACCAGTTAGGAGACAAAATTGATGTACTGTTCTTTGATTTTGTCTGATATTAAGTGTCTTAGTAAATTGTTGTTAAGTGAACGTATCTAGTTAAGGTAGAGTCTCAGTGTAATGTTAATGTTATTTTGGTGTTATATCGTAAGTCAAAAAAAAGTTAATTACATTCTTATATCTTAACTCACGATAAATATTTACAGATCTCTGACTTACTAATGTATTATTCATCATTGTGTAAACTTGCTGTTGAATTGTTGAATAGTGTGCTGTATTATGTAAATTACTGTACTGTAAACTTACAGTGAATGTAAACTGTAACTTACGGTGGCTGTAAACCCCCCTTATAAATGTACTGTATGCTGCATATGTGTAAGATACAGTACTGTAAATTGTGCTGTAGTCTATACTGTAAGTGTAACTACTATATAAATACGCTGGTATTAAATATGTACTGCGTGTGTGTCTTGTTTTATTGATGGTTCCTTCACACACACACACACACACACACACACACACACACACACGTTATTTCTTATTGCCCGCCGTGTCTAGAGACGATTTTAGCAATAAGTTCTTTCTGTCTGTCTAAAAAAAAAATTAAATATACATATCTATATCTATATTATAACCTGTACAGGACCCGGAACTATGTATATCTACAGTTTGCATTATGGAGTACTTATACATTAGAATTTATATATGAACACGTGTGTATATAGCCCATAGAGTCTTAATCAAATAAGGTCATCTGTGTTGGCTATAGGAACTGATTCAGCGCATATCAGGATACAGTAACCCCCCTCCCCCCTCCCCCCTCCCCTGTCTCTTTGTATATTTGTTTGTCTGTCTGGTTCTGTCCCCCTCTCTCTCCCTGTCTATCTGTCTGTCTGTCTGTCTGTCTGTCTGTCTGTCTCTCCCCTCTCCTTCTCTCGCTGTTTCTCTGTCTGTCTGTCTGTCTATTTCAGCCCAACCTCTGTCTCTCTCCCTCCCCCCCCCTCTCTCTCTCTCTCACTCCTCACTACCAACCATACCTAGCACAGAACAGAATCCGTGTCTCCTAGGTTAGGACGCCCAAACACCATTAGTTTACCTCGCTTGTCTCATTAAATAGGAAAAAAACGCGCGAAAAATTACGTAATATTTGTTTTTCGTTGTGTCTTTAATCTTGAGTCATCGCTGTAACGAAGCTTCACTATGTAACGAACTTTTCATCGCATATTAATGAATCTTTCTCGGTAAACTAAAGAAATCGCACTGCTAACTAACAAGCCCTTCACTGCAAACGAACAAAAACTTCACCACAAACTAACCTAACCTAACCTAACCTAGCCTAACCTAAACTAACCTAATCTAAATTAATCTAACCCAACCTAAACTGCACCA